CCCTCGCGTTCGGCCAATGGTTCTCTTTGTCAAGTCATGGGCCAAGCGACGAAAAGTCAACAGCGCATACTCTGGTACTCTCTCTTCATACGGATGGGTACTTATGGTGCTGCATTATTTGGTCAATGTTGCACAACCACCTGTGTGTCCAAATCTCCAACTTTCCGTCCCGCTCCCGAGCGACACAGTAGCGCTAGAGCAGTTCTTCAAGAATACGACTATAGCAGGCTATCAGGTCCGCTTTTGGCGCAACGAGCCAGAAATCACCCAGGCCGCGCAAGCCGGCCGACTTTCACAGAACACACAGTCTGTCGGTGCGTTGCTACGCGGATTCTTCCAGTACTACGCTTCTCTGTCCGGCTACGGCTATGGACCTAAGCCCCCGCAGTTCTACTGGACCAACGAAGTCCTGTCCCTTCGAACACCTGGTGGAATCTTGTCGAAGCAGAGCAAGGGCTGGGTGAGCGCGACAACCAAAATTACAGCCGAGAAGAAGGTCACGAATCGGTATCTGTTCGCAATTGAAGATCCTTTCGAGACTGATCACAATGTGGCGAGGACCGTCACTCACCGTGGTATCGTTGCTATTAGAGACGAGTTCAGGAGGGCATGGAGGATACTAAAGGCCATTGGCCAGGGCACAGAACCCGAAGGTGGAATCTTTGACGAAGTTGTAGAGCAGCCGCCTGCCCCGTCTGAGCCAAAACCTGAAGACGCTCCAAAAGGCACCATGGAAAGTCTTGGCGTCGATGAAGAATCGAAGAATGAACAAGACAGTCAAGCGATTGCAGTATAAGAAGTAGGTATATATCGATTCCAAAGATACGATATATGGCTCTCGAAGAGCTGGAAAAGACTATACTATATTACCCAGGTTACGAAATAGACAATGACCGACTTTGTAATATAGCAACCTCGCCTCAAACCTGAAGCCATCCTTCCAACTCTTGATCCATCTCCAAAAATTCGTCAAAAGCTGTGCTGAGAAAGTCATCCTGTATATTGTAGGAAAGATGCGTTTGCGAAGAGTCCTTGTACGCCAGCGGATCGAAGCCAGAAGTCATATCTGTCATGAACGACGAGGAAGAGTCCCCATGTCCTCCACATGGTAGAGTGTCTTCTTGGTTATCTGTTCCAGGATCGCTATGCAGTTTACCCAGAACAGCATTCACCGCTTTCACGGCCGTCTGCGCTTCTTTCGAAGAGCCCTGTTGCTGTTCCCACACACTCCTCGAAATCTTGAGTGCTTCCACGCTTTTCTGCGTGACGTCTTCCCCGATCAACCCTTTCTTCATGTCGTCATTCAGATTGAGACACAGGACTGTTGTAGCTAGCAGGAACTCGGATTGGATCAAGGAGAGGATCTTCCATCGATCGGAGTGCAGCATGCGGCCCGGTCGGCACTGCTCGAATAACTCAGCCTGTAGCTGCAATATTGTTAATGCTGCGTTGATACATGTCGAATGAGATAGCTGGTATTTGCCGTTCGTCTTCGCAAGGATGATGAACTTGCGGTGGAGGGTGATTTGCGCGTGGTGATACGACATCGCTATATATAGACGACGGGTGATGAGTTCTGCGCCGTCTAAGATGGATTGCTGCATAGGCTTTAACTGGAGTATGGAAGGCTTCTGGGTATACGCTTTGTTGAGTAGCGTATCTAAGCGCATTGCTTCGTCATAGTCTCGCTGCTTCGATGATGTCGTGAAGTCGCAGATCATTCCGTAGACGGAAACAATTCTGCTCTTATATACTAGGAATTGAGACAGGGTGTGCTCACGCTGCGGCCTTGCAAGCGGTAAAGCGGTAGAGGTATCGTCAAAGTCATCATCGAGGAGGTTGCGCGGCTCAGTGGTGTCGCATTGGGTTTCTTTTATGATTCGCGGAAGACCGACCTCAGAAGCTGAAGCGATGTCAAATTGCGTGAGGATATACCAGGTACGCCTACGCATTTCGGCCTCGTAGACACTCATTTGTGGGAAGTGCAAGCCATCGCGGTGGTAGCCCATCTTGAGCGCTACGCGTATTATGACGCCCGTCAATTGCCAACAGCCTTGTTGTGTGTCTTCGCCTTGAACGTATTCGGTCTGGAGGAAAGCCAGTAAGGCCTCGATGGTATGTGGTACGCCCTTCATGTAGTTACCTAGCCGAAGACACTGAATCATCTTCTCTCGTGAGATGATGATTAGGCTGTGATATTCGGCTGCTGTCGCCTCGTCCAAGGAGGACGTTTCCCCATTGACGAAGAGTGTACAATAAGCCACAGTGTACATCATGCCGAATAAAATAGTCAGCCACATGGTTGACGTAGAAAGCGGGTCTTCCCAAAACGCTTCGTATTGCTTGATGAAGACCTTGCGGTGAATGACAAGTGAGACGGGCATGTCAGCCCATTTGAAGTACTTCGAGATCATGCTGTCCACAATTATTCGGGGCGGAATCGCAGCGACAATATCCATTTTTGTAACTGGGTATGTTTGGAGAAGAAACAGGTCGTTTCCAGGGAGTGTTGGTCCAGTTTGTAGTGGTTCTTCGACTTGTTCCTGTACCATGTCTTTCAGACCACTAATCTCATCCAGGATGGCTTTCCAGTGATCACTCTCGACGTATGAAGATTGATGATTATTGAGGTTTATCCGTCCAGCTTCATATACGAGAGGATCTACTGCGGCGGCGGTTTCGGTAGCCTCGTGGGTCGCCAGATTTCCCGGGATCAGAGCATTAGGAGGGTTCTCTTGTTTGTCAAGCAAAGACCGGACGAGAGACTCCAGTTGATCAATTCGCTCCTCGAAGGCCTTTCGCGGGGCGCTGTCTATCGGCCTGTCTTTTTGTGGGGCTCGCGAAAGCTGGGGTAGAGGAAAGCTGCACCCTGAAGCTTGTCCTAGTCGAATGCAGCTCCCGCAAGGTTTGTTACGATCGCAACGGAGTCTAGAGACCTCTTGTTAGATGTCTTGGTAATAAGATATATGACTTTCTTACTTTCTCTTCCTGCAGAAATCACAGGATAGCTGGGCCTTCTCCCGGCCTCTCATTCTCTCTAGCAGTCTTTCCGAGGAAACAGGCGAGTTTGTCATCTCTCCGGTCTACTTCAGGCGTACTTGGGAGATGATGAATTGTTTAGGATACGATGACCATAGGTAGTAATCTTGGTGGCAACATAAGCACGGGATGCATGAAGGAACGTAAGTCGGCCGCTATATACAGGGCCGCATTTTACTAGAGCCTGTACACGAATTCGCACATTCTTCCCATTGGGGTCGTGTGCGTCAGAGTAATCAAGGTGAGCCTACGATCGGCAGATGGCTTAAAAGTGGGCCCAAACGGACGTCCGCTGGCCTCTGATTGGTGCAATGCTCCGCGTCCACGAGATTGCATTGCAAGCAGACATCAAGTCCAAGAGTTGGTGGTAGTATAAGATGGAAAGGAATGTAGGACTTGAGGATGCTGCAAAGAAATACACATCAAATTTCATCATCATTCGATATCTCATGAACGCATAATCACTTCTTCGAGCCCTTATCTTCAACACGATGCCTACCAATCTCGCAGCATGGATGCCAGCACCCAAAGAACGCATGGAAATCTCAGAAGCGCCATTTCCTACGCCTGGACCTGACGAAATCGTCGTCAAGAATCGGGCAGTAGCGGTCAATCCGGTCGATTGGGTTTTGCAAGACCAGGGCACCAGTATGGCGTTCGGCTGGATCAAATACCCATTTGTCTTCGGCTTTGATGTCGCTGGCGAAGTGGTTCAGGTCGGCAGCAAAGTCGTACGGTTCAAGGTAGGAGACCGTGTTCTAGGTCAGGCGCACAGCACCGACAAGAAGATCAACAGCGCGGCATACGGAGCATTCCAGCTATTTCCCGTTCTCCTTGAAAGGAACACATCGTCTATTCCGGACAGCTTGTCATTCGAATCTGCTGCAGTGATGCCTCTGGCTTTCACTACTGCTGCAGCAGGGCTATTCGAAAAGGATCAGCTCGGTCTGCAGTATCCTCAACTCAATCCGAACCCGACCGGAAAGACCGTCCTTGTATGGGGAGGCTCGACTAGCGTAGGCTGCAACGCCATCCAACTCGCTGTTTCCGCTGGATACGAAGTCATATCGACATCTTCGCCAAAGAACTTCGACCTCTTGAGATCCCTCGGAGCTAGCAAAGTCTTCGACTACAATGACCCCTCTGCAGTCGACAAGATCGTCGGGGCCATGGATGGGAAAGAATGCGCTGGGGCAATGTCTATTGGAGAGAATGCAGTTTTCCATTGTCTAGACGTCTTGGGCAGATGTGAAGGCAACAAGCGTATTGCGATGGCGACCTATCCAATCCCGGCTCAACCGAAGCGATTTGTCGCACTGCAGATTGTCTGGAGCTTCGCCACTTCAATGATCTCCATCACCATCAAGTCACAGCTGAGAGGTATCAAGACAGGTTTCGTGTACGGGTCGGTGGCGCATTCCCCTGTCGGCGAAGCCGTGTACGCCGACTTCCTGTCTGAAGCGCTCGCGACGGGCAGGTTCAGAGCAGCTCCGGAGCCAATCGTCGCTGGAGAGGGCCTAGAAGCCATCCAAAGAGCTTTGGGCATACAGAAGAAGGGAGTTTCGGCAAGAAAGGTGGTTGTAAGCCTGAAGTAATATCGGAAGTTGGGATCTGGATTTGCAAGTTTGCTGCCCTGGCACTTTCTCAGTATAGGAGCTCGGGGTCTACTACGATTACTTGATTCCTCAGAGATCATTTGATATATGCGTGTCCTCTCCGAGAGATAATAAAGGATCTGTGTAATGACTGTTATTTGGGAATGCGTGAAATAAGCGACACGGGCTGGATGCGTTCTTTACGGTGATGGAGCTGACTGACTACGTTAGCGCACGCCGCCTCGTGCAGATGCGACCTGCCCCACGCATCACCTCAGCCCCAACTTCCAGCTTTAGCACGGCCTAATCGCAACTCATCTCGATCATCGCGCAACGCTGTATGACCTTCTCTGACATGCCTTCGAGATGTCTGCCACTTATTACGACAACTCACCATCACGCGAAGACCGCCGCGTTGTTCGCCGCCGGCTAGTCAATTGGTTACACTGGCCCGAGACGACAAGTCAGCCGCATTTCACGAACGAGAAACTCGACTTGAGTGAACGTTCCCGTCCGGATATCGAAGACGATGCTCTTATCTCGTGGGGTCTGAAGCAAGCCAGGGAATCGCAGGGCGGCAATACGGCGATTAACGTACTGTATGGAGAAGGACCGCGCCTTCGTGGGTGCCACGTAAGAGTCAAGCCGCGTTGATGTTAACGAAGCTCAAGAATGGCGAGACAATATCAATGACGACGACTTGGAGCACATATTGCAGGTATGTGTGAGCCATAGCAACACTAATGAATAATCCTGACACTTCAGACTCAACCGACAAGTACAGGAGACCACTCGTTGCGGATGTGGTACGTGGAATATTGTAGATCTCAGCAGAGCCATGAAGAACACGACTTGGGCCAAAACAAGCACAAGAGAGTGTTCGAGAGTTTACAAGCTAGGGTAACACGCTGACTAGGTTCGTAAAGCTTCCTGAATACACTGGAACCAAGCAGCGGTTGGCTACCAGGAAACTTCGAGATTCGATCCCGGACCTTCCGCATTCTGAGGGATTTTGGTTTGTCGAAATCGCTACTGAAGAACATATACTCCAAAGATACTTTTTGGGCTAAGATGGGAAACCAGCTGTTCTTGCGTCGCAACGAAAAGGGCGATCTGCTCTCGTTCGGTACGATACATATCTACCCTCTTTTACACATTGATTGAGCTTATGACCAGATACTTGCTACCAATATGTATGCGGTTGGGATACTGGTGTCAGTTTCATTAACTACATACGCACTCCGAACCAGACTACCTATTTCTGCATCAACTGTCCTACTCCTACCGCTTCTCGCTTGAGAGACATTGTGGAAAGCAAGCCACTCCTGGCCCACCGCGACTTCCTGCTCGATTCGCTAGTCGCAGATGACTGCCTAAAGCAGTGGCAGCTGGATATTGGAAGCCGTCGTGACAAGCTCATTCATTATGTCCGCATTGGTTTCCTTCATAATATGCGCAAATCTAATGACCCTCATAGGAGCGAGTCTACGACGAAAACCTTGATACATTTCGAGAAGCTACGATTGAGCTTCATCAACTTGCAAGGTCATGGCTGACCCTCAGACAAGATAGCCAGGATCTTTACGCACAACTGCACTTCCTACGTGAATCCTACGTAAAGTACAAAGGAGCTGTGGGAACTTCCGCGAAGCTGTGGAGTTTAGACCAAACAGACATGTGCGAGTCGTTCGATATGCTCATATCGGCCTGCGATACGTGTAGCAGATGGACAAGTGTATATCACGAGAGGACAAGCCTCAGAATCAACCTAGTCAGTATAAGTCTCCACTTGAACAAAAAGATCTTAACGCAGTATACCAGCTCTTCCAGCTGTCGAACCAAAGGGATTCGAAAACCAACATCAAAATCGCCGACGCTACTGCTGATGTCGCACTACTGACACAGCGCGACTCTGCGTCCATGATCACTATTGCCGCCGTTACAATGCTTTTCTTGCCCGGCACGTTCATCTCCGCGATTCTAAGTACTACTTTCTTCGACTACGGAGACGAGGGACTGCGCATTTCAAAGAGATGGTGGATACTTCCCGCTTCTACAATACCATTGACTATTGTCGTATTTGCCATCTGGCTAGGTTGGCGCTACCTCAGGTTTAAGAAATTGGGCAACGAGAAGAAGATAAGACAGAAGGAAACGCTTCGAGTAGCGATCACCACACCGTAAGAGTGGTGCTGTAATACCAATCGCTCGATAATATTAGCGGTTGAGAAAGGTTCACAGGCTGTGATGATATCCAACCCTTGAGAGCGGCCATTTCGAATAGCTAAAAGAAGCTCGGGGTATTTTGTTTCCTTAATTTGTATGAAGGATGATCGCTGCATGAAGAGCGTGCATAAGATGGTCAATGTAGGCCACCTATGGAGATGCACCGTTACTACATTTGTATCGTGAGGCCAGTTCCAGCTAAAGCACCGACCTGTATAATTTCACATGCCTGAGTATGATTTACATCTTGATGTCAAAGCTTGTCCCGCACCCACAACTACTCGTCGCCCCGGGTATGCCGGTGATCTTGAACTGGCTCCCTATCAACTCCATGGTATAATCCACCGTACTTCCATTCAACAACTCCAAACTAGACTCGTCGACAACGATCTTCTCTCCCTTCTCTCCCTCAAATATGGTATCTTCCTCGTTCGCTGGGTTCTTGGATAAGTCGGTCAAGTCCATGAGGTACTGGAAGCCGTGACATCCGCCGCTCTCGATGCTTACGCGCAACGCAAGGTTCGGGTTGTTGTCGCCCAAAGAGATCTTCTGAAGCCGATTCGATGCACGGGGCGCTATGGAGATCAGCATGGGTTTGCCGGAGTCGTCGGTGCGTGGGTTTTGGATCGCATGGGCGGGCTTTGCGGTGGAGGCGTCGGATGATGTGGCGAGGGCTCGTCGTGGTATGTGTTGTGGTTGTGAGAATGTTAAACTTTTTATTGGCAGATATGTTGCAGTTCTTCGTGGAGATGAAGGCGCCAGAAAGTCGAGGAACAGCGATTGCGAAGTGGCGTGCGGTGCTGCTCTGCTGTACGCTCGCATGGATTGAGCTGCGGCGGCGATAGGATCGGCCGGCCGCCGTATCTTTGTCCTTATCGCTATTCGCAGGCAAGACGCGCACATAGTTGAAGGGGGGGCCATTATGGCGATATCGAGGATGTGGAGAGCGCTGTCACGACAAAGGTTCACGAGCCTGAGGTCATAGCTAAGAATGTCACGACCGACGGGATCCAATCAGACGTGCCCTTCAACTCGGGGTTCTAGACCGCTGAGTCAGGCACAAACCCCACCTTGTGCCGCCGCCACCATCCATCGTACGAGCACCAGACTGTTCCAGCCTTACCCGCTCAAGCTATCTACTTATCGTGCCCGAACCCTCAATGATAGTGCTACATTACCTCTATACAAGCTTTGTCTTGTCCGAATCCTGGTAATCCTTCCTTCATCACTACCTACGATGCCAAAACACCACAACCCTTATTTCGCCATTCCACAGGCGGAACTATGCACCGACGTGTTTGCGACAAACGAAGATAGCAAAGATGACCTGAGCAAGTTGAGGAACGAGTTTGTGATTCCGACAAAGGGCGACCTAAGGAACAGGAGATTCGGGTTTCAGCAGAACGGAAAGCCTGCGACTACGCGCGAAGACGACAGCGAAGAGTCCATATACTTCTGCGGCAACTCCTTGGGACTCCAGCCTCGGAGGACTAAGGAATATGTCAATCGCTATCTAGATACCTGGGGATCGAAAGGTGTATTTGGCCACTTTACTGACTACGAGGGAGGCTTGCCGCCATGGCTACACATTGATGATGCGATAAAACAACAAACCGCGAAAATAGTCGGTGCACTGCCTACCGAAGTCGTTGTAATGGAAACATTGACTGCAAACCTGCATTTGCTCATGGCAAGTTTCTATCGACCGACCAAGGATAGATACAAGATCATCATCGAGGGGAAAGCATTTCCCAGCGATCACGTAGGTTGATGCAAACATACTCCCAGCACTTGGTAATGACTTCTTCGTAGTATGCCGCTCTCTCTCAGATCGCCCACCACAACCTCGATCCGTCTGCGCTTGTCACCATTGACCCGCCCTCTGCATCCTCACCTTACCTCTCCAACGAACACATACTCTCGGTCATATCGCACCATGCGCCCACGACCGCACTAGTGTTATTACCTGGTATTCAGTTCTACTCGGGCCAGTTCTTCGATATAGAGCTCATAACGCGTCACTGCCGATCGCTAAGTATTACAGTCGGCTGGGATCTTGCGCATGCAGCTGGAAACGTCCCGTTGAAGCTACATGACTGGAACGTGGACTTCGCAGCGTGGTGCAACTACAAATACATGAACGGTGGTCCAGGAGTCATCGGTGGTCTCTTCGTCCATGAAAGACATGGAAAGGTGGAACAAGTGTCTGCAGCTCGAGCAGACGGCACAAACGGCGTAGGGAGTAACGGCACAGAGCTCGCCTATCGACCACGGCTAAGCGGCTGGTGGGGAAGCGATAAGAGCAGTAGATTCCGAATGGAGAACAAGTTCGTTCCCATTGCGGGTGCGAGCGGCTACCAACTCAGCAACCCCAGCGCACTGGATATGACTTCCGTCATGGCATCATTAGACGTCTTTGCGTTGACAAACATGGACGCGCTACGTCAGCGGAGCCTAAAACTAACCGCATACCTCGAAGCGCGGCTCCTGAACTACGATGGCGGAGAGCCTCCATACACGATCATCACACCCACAAACCCGGCCGAACGTGGAGCGCAGCTCAGTGTCCTTCTTAACCCGGGGCTACTGGAACAAGTCCAGCACTACATTGAAGAGCGTGGCGTCGTCGTTGATGAAAGAAAGCCTGACGTTCTGCGCGTTGCGCCTGCGCCGCTATACAACTCCTTCCACGACATCCATCGATTCGTTACTGTCTTCCACGAAGCTTGTCGCGAGGCTTTGAAGGGCAATGTGCAGAAGGGCACGCATAACGACAAAGTACCCCAAGGAATTGCCACTGTATGATCAGGGTCTTTCAGTGCGAGAATCCAAGCGAGGTCTGATCGTGCGCGAAAAGTAATGTAATTCATAATACTAGTAACACATATACCCAAGCGATACACCGTTTTCCAGATATGATGGCCAAAAGCTACATTCAAGAACGTGAACACTATATGCAAAACAACGTCATGATCCAGAACCGGATGAATCCCACGACGCGCCCGGATGATCATGCATCGCCTATGCTGCGCCTTGGTAGATCCAACCCACCTATGCCTTAAGCGCAAAAGAAAACAGGCTATCCATCTGCACCCACTGCCTTCCATTCCTCTCCAGCCACCGCTCTACCACACCTTTCAGCGTACCAAATCTCTCTCTGTTGACCTCCGCTAACACCTTGATCTTCTCCTTCCTCTCCATGTCTTCCGCCTTGACACCACCGTCCATCTTACCGACACGATCGACGTCGAATAAGGATTGGTAGTATAATAGCTGGTTCCAGACGTCGCGCTCCTTGATCTCGTAGGTCATCTTGCCCAAGCAGTCTCGAGCGAGTCCCTTTGGACCAAGACACCGGTGACCATAGACGGATATACTACGCGTCCGGTTTGAGCACTGTGGATCGTCGCATACAACGTGGCCTGCATAGTATGAAGCGAGAATTTGGCGGATAGAGGATTCGAGCTGAGCCACCACACTGATGTTCTGTAGTATTTTGCCACAGCCTTCAGCAGGACATTGTATACCACTGTGCGAGATGGTTTGCAACGATGCCGATGTTGGTGATGTCGAAGAGAGGCCTTGAAATGGGAATACTGTCGTACATCCTCGGCAGCGCAGCCAAAGTGGCGAACATGATTGGAAGCGTACAGAGTCTGGGATCTGCGACTCCAGAGGATGGATCTCGGTGTCTTGTTGCGCGCCTCCTGAAACGGTACTCACCCGGTATTTGGAGGTGTCAAGGCCAAGACACGCTGCGAGGAGAGTTATATTTGTTCCGCTGATGGGCGCGCAGAGACGCTCCACTGGTGGCAGAATCTGATTGTGGAGGTAGTAGTCAATGTCGGGCTTCAGCTCACTGTCGGCTTTCAAAACTTCGTCAACGGGATAGGCGTTCTTTGCTGCGTTCTCGGCCGAGCCAGATGATTCACCTGTGATGATGAAGCTCATGACATCTTTGGCCTTGACGTGTTTACCCTTGGCCTGAAGGCGAAGTGCGACCTGGACAGAGGGCATCGAGTTGCCGTTGGGGTATTCCTTGGGGTTCTTTCCGAGCTGTGTGTAGATGGTGTACTTGCGAGCTGGAACGGTGTACTCGCGCATTTGTTTGCTCAGCTCGCGAAGGTGGTTGTGGATCTTCTCAACGACTACTTCAGGATCTTCACCACTAAGCAGGAAGTTGAGTAATTCCCTATAGCGTTGTTAGCGCGCCATTATATCTACCTTCGTAGGCTGGAGAACTTACGTTGATGTCTCCTTGGACAGAGCACAATACTCCCTGCGCCTCATGTCGAGACCTTTGACTTCGAGTTTCTCGATGTACTTGCCATCGACAGGGACCATGTTAATGGCTGCATACTTCTTCTTGGCATGCAGTAAGATACGGCGGAAGACATTGTCGATGTCGATCTCCAAAAGCTTGTAGCTGTCGTTGACCTCTTTCTTGAACTCGTTACCCAACTTCAGCGCATCCTGAATGTTATCGACGTTCGTGTTGATCATGACGGAATCAGTGTCACCATAGATGACGCGCAATGCCTTCTCCTCGGCCATGTCCTTGGTCTTACGGAGAATCTCACGACCCTTGTATGTCGTGAGCATAGCGAGTGGTCGAGCGTAGAATCGAGACTTGGTGTATCCCAAACATCCGTACATAGAGTTGGCAGTAAGCTTCAGCGCCATTTGTTTGATGTCCCAAGTTGCCAACTCATCCGGAGTGGCATCCTTGGCCTTCATGAGCTTCTTCACTTCGCGACGTCGTGAGACGAGCGTAGCAATAAGGCGCGGTAAGATACCTTGATCTTGATTTGTGGGGACTTCGGGCACCTTGTCGTCATCTTCCGAGAGATCGGATCGCTCGACGGTGGTGAAGCAAATGTTGAACTCCTGGATGATACTGGGGTAAAGGGAGTTGAAGTCCATGACCAGAATAAACTTGTCGTAGAGACCCTTCTCGGGCTCGAAGACTAGACCGCCTTTAAACTTGTCCTTCTTTTTGGCATCCGCACCCTCTTCGCCCTCGGCTGCTTCTTCCTCGGCCTTTACTTTGCTCTTACCCCACTGTTTATCCGGGCAAATGTACTTGTTCTTGTGGAACTCGTGGAGCAAAATGTACTCGTTACGTTCGGCACGAGTACCACTCAGTGTTCGGGCCCAGGAGTTACCCGCCAAGTTGGTGAGAACCTTGGTGAGCGGAAGCATTTGCACCTTTATCGAGATCGCAGCGATAAAGTAGGCGTCGGCTTGGCAGTGCTTGATGTAGTTGAGAAGACCCTCCTTCGTTGTTGCCCAAGTCTTAAGCGCGGCCTCGTTGTCGAGCTCTTCACGTCGCTTGTTGAGCCCAAGCTGGACCATCTCCTCAAGACTCCACGATTGACACTTGGGCATCAGAGACTTTCCAAGATCATTGGCCAGGTCACACAGCAAGCGGCCAGAAGCTAGCTGCTTCTCAGCGAAGAAACTTCCGCCACCCTTGCCCATGCTCTTAGGCCAGTCGCTTCTCTTGAGTCGCCCAATGCGATGCCATCCCGGTGTCTTCTTTTCACGCAGACGGCTTAGCAAAACGCTGTAGTCCACGTCATCCAAGCGATGGCCGACGAGGACATCCGGGTCGTGCCGCTGAAACATCGCCATCAGCAGGCTCAGAAGTTCCTGCTCAGTCTTCTTCATGTACATGTTGCCCTTAACCTTCTCCACTTCCTTGTCGAAGCCTACTGGGAAAGCTGCACCGTTCGGCCGCATAATAGTGAAGCTCTTGCACTGCATCTGGTCGACGGGTGTCGTATCGGTCAAGGAGAAGTTATCGTAGATCATAGCACTGGCGACCAAGATCTCCTGCTTGTTGTCCTTCGCGTTGAAAGTGGTCCGTAGGGAGAGACTCATGAGTGTCATTGGGGGCGCGTCAAGATTGTCCGACGCGCTGACGACTGTTATGTTGTTGGGCTTGCTGACTGCAACTTCAAGCTTACACCAAGAAGCGTTTGCAACAGAACCAAAGTCGGGAGCATCAATCTTGAGCCAGCATGGTCCCATGACGTTCTTCCAGAGCACGAACTGCTCGAAAAGGGATGTGTTGGTTCCGAAGACGTGAGAAAATGTTTC